TCACTGTGCAATTCACTGCCCAGGCTCCCTGAGGTCCCCCTACATTCCACTCCTCTTCAACCTCACCTGAAATCAGCCAAGCTCAGCTGCAGCTTCTTCCGGGCTTTGTTTCGGGTGATATAGTTGGTGGCAGAGCCACGTTCGTACTTGGGGAGGAAGAAACAATTCTCTATGAGCAATGATTGCAGCGACTAATATCAAACTCTGGACATGCCTAAGTCCAGAGGCAACTATCACTCTGGATAAGTGGCAGAGATGCTTCTGGGATGGAAATGCTGTAGGCAGGGAGCTGACCTCCCTGAATGAGCTCTCCTGCACTGTCCTTATAGGTGTCAGCATAAAGAACACATACATCTGCATGATGCTGGGGACTGTGAGGTTGCTCTAGATAGGCTGCCATGCCAAGCACTTACTTAGTACTAGCTCTAAGTACTGGCCATTACAATTAGTAATTTCCACATATTATTTCATTTAATCCCCATAACCCCATTTCATTTAAGCCCCATGAAATAGTAACCACAGTTAGCTGTTTATACAATGTGCTCTTTTGGGGAGTGAGGGACAAGCTGTTGTAATATCTGAGATACCCCACCCAACCAATTTTGTTCCTTTGGGGGTGCTAGCACCCTGGTTGAAAACACATGTTCTAAGCCACACAGCTTCTCTCCTTCCCCACACAGTCACTCAACAGATAATAACAGGTCCTTTACCATGTTCAAAGCAATTAAACTAGATGCTACCTCAGGGCAATAAAGACAAAATGCTTGGTCTCTACTTGTCCCCAAGAAGCATATCGTCTTGTGCAATCACCTGGATGCCTCTGATGCTAAGATGCTGCCTCATGCTCACATATCTGTTTCCCTGATAAGAGACCAGCAGTGCACTGTACCCAACGACCTACAGTGCTAACCAAGCATGTTCTTTCCAAATGAGATCTTCCTTTGGAGTAATATAGCAAGGACCTCTTTGGCTAGGTCCAGCTATAAAGAGACAAATCTGTAGCCTCCTAAAGGGTACATTTACAAATAACTTCACAATCATAAAACACACACTTCACTCATTCTTTCCTTCAGACATTCACTGTCTATCGGGAACATGGCCCATGCTAAGTCCTGGAGATACACAGATGAGTTTCACACTGCCTCAAGAAGTTGAGTTTTCATTAAAAGTGTTTTCCATTACCGTATGGCACACATATCTCTGTCATCACGCTTATTCTTTTAAATAGTAAGGGGATAAGTGGTTTGGAACGAGGTGATTTTATTTCCTGGGTACATACAGGGGGAGAATTCAGCAATGTCTAGAGACATTTCTGGTTGTTCGGTGCTACTGGCATTCAGTGGATAGAGGGTCAGAGATGTTGCTAAACCTCCTACAATGCACAGGACAGCCCTTCTCACAACAAAGAATTATCTGGCCCAAAGAGCACAATGGTTATGAAACTTAGCTTTTAAAAACTGTAATGATTTGTTGACATATTTGCATCTGCACCTCAAGGGCAGACTTTCCATGTTATACCTTTGTAGCTCCAACAGCTAGCACTTACTGCATATGCAACAGTGTACTGGGTTAGAAACAAATTGGCAATAGAAACTTTCAAGCTGAAAGATACACCTGGGCCAATGACATCTTCCTCATCCCCATCCCTTTCCCAATCTTTTTTCATGCCGCCAAGGTGAACAACTCCCCAAAAAACTCTGGCCACGTTACTCTCCATCTGACTGATTCCATCTGCACTTAGAATAACATCCAAGTTCCTCACCACAGCTTCCAGGCCCTGAATCATTCAGTCCCTGCCCAACCCCCAACCTCATCCGATGCCATTCCTCCTCTGGTTTACTACATCCCAGCCATTCTGATGTCCTTTCAATTCCTTTCACACAGCAAACTTATCCTGTCTGGTAGGTCTTGGCATTTAGTTTCCCCTGCCAGGCTTGCTTGCTAAGCTCTCCCAAGTTACGGCCTCGAACAGAACTTCCAAGACAACAATAATGTGATGGTGTTGTAGCGATGAACTTTACCTAATGTTCACCATCCTTTCAGTAAACTGTTGTCCCACAGTTCTGCCTGCTTTGGGGATAAGGCTATGCTTCCTAGGCTCAACTCTCCCTCACAGTTCTTTCCATAGAAAGAACTCCAGAGTTCTTTCCCGGATTTCATTGGACGAGTGCTGCTGCCCTTGCCCATTTCTCGGACTGCTCGCGGCTGACTCCTGTCGCTTTGATCCCGTCGTTTCTGTCCCCCCAAGGAGCCAAGGCCAGAGAAGAGCCGATCCCAGGCTCCGCCATCCCCACCTCCCACCCTCCGAGAATCCCCGGCGTCTCTTCCACTCACCTTCTTCTTCTCTAGGCCTCCCATGGCTCGACGCCGAAGAGCCTACCAGCTAAGAGTCGACGGCGCCACTTCCTCCCTCGTGCGCCTTGACAAGGGCCCTGAGGACCCCACGCCGCCGCTTTGCGCGGGCTGCCCAATGACGTGCCTGTGCAAGTCGAGGGAAAGATAGGTATTTCCTCCTCTAGATATACAACTCTAAATAAAAAAACACTTCGACCGCTCTTTCTATATTTTTTCCACACGTCAATATGTTACGCACAGTTTAAATGTTTAAACAATGTGGCTATACAGGCATTTCTGTAATCACCCTGATGACGATTGCTTGACAATGTGAGCCCCGTTGCATGTTGGGATGGAGAGGGGCGGAAGGCTTGGAAACAGCGCAGTACCTTCTGGGATGCAGAGGGGCGCCACCCTCCGTGGTGCCTGAGGAGATCACATTGTCAAGGTAACGGTTGCTTGGCGTCGTGGGAAAGTGGCTGGAGCCCTGAGAAGTGGCAGCCGTGGGCCGCCGGGTGAGGTTGCACTTGGTTCTCCGCCGCCCTCAGCTTCTTTTCGGTTCATTCGCTCTTATGGGGATAAAATAGAGCCAAGGCAGACTTTTTCCTCTCAGAGACCTGAGGGACCGCTTACATTTTCTGAGCCCTAGTGCTGGATTGAAAAGTGACGAAAAGCTAGAGTTACAGAACTCTGGTATATTTTAAATATGCATTTAACACATTCGAGCTTTTAATTTGGACACAGAAATCCCATATGTTGTTCCTTAAAGGATAATTACAGGATTTATACAAAATTTTAAAGTTTTTTGATGTTTTCTTCCTTCGGGCCTCCAAATTCTATTTGAAGATGGCCTCAAAAGTTTAAATTTGAGGCCCTTGTAAATGTGACCTGGCCCAACGTCATGGTCAGCAAACTCACCCTTTAGAGGTAGAGACAGACCCTTAAGAACCGGCAAATGCTTGTATTAAACAATGTGGAATTTTACTGTCTGCTTTAAAGCTAAAATAAAATAAAAATCCAGCAATTCCACAACTAGAAATGAAATGAAAACCGGGATATGGGAGCGTGAACTGGCAAAGACTTTAAAGGAACTTGCCAGAGAAGTGTGAGGAAAACCAGGGACATGTGTTCACAGCAGAAGATGGAGGAGAGTGTTTCAGAAAGGATCTGAGGACAAAAGGAGTGGATCTGGCAGAGAGGGAGAGGAGAGAGCACCCAGGCCAGAGGCAAAAGTTCTGGGGATTCAGAGAACTGTGAGAAGTCAAAGAAGTCCGTTATGACTGGAGCACGGGCAGTGCGACTGGGTGGGAGGCAAGGGCAGCATGGCTGGCTCATGAAGGGACTACAAGAGCAGGGCGAGTGCCGTGGGCATGCGACCTGGGCAGTTGCCCAGGGCTGTGCCCTCATTTCACACTATCCCTCACAAATCACGTAGCTGGTCCTGCACCAGAGGGACCGTGTTTGTGGAAAGAGGGTGACCCCTGTCTTGCTCACATTAAAGTTGAGGGGTCAGTAGGAGACACAGGTGGAAGTGTCCAGGAAAGCAGTGGTCCTTTCAGGTTTGGAGTTCAAAATAGAGATCACATAGGTACCACATTTCCCAAGGGAGGAAACGCAAGCTTAGGAAGCAAAGGTATTCGCCCAAGGTCACTCAGCTGCTAAGTAATGGAGAGTGGATTTCACCAAAGTAATCTGGCTTCCATCCAAGTCCTCTGCTGGAATCATGCTCCACTGCCTGATGAATGGTGGACAGGCCCAGGCATGCAGCACTTGCTTCCTCGTCTTTGTCATATGAAAGACTGTTGTGTGACTCTAGGACAGTGCCAGGCAGATTTTACTTCCATTAAAGGAAGAGATTTTAAACCATTAGAGCTGTCCACCCACTGAATGCTTTGTGCAATAACCAAGCCTCTGTTAGCATTATGGCGAAAAACCCAGTCTGTGCAGGCATACATACTTGGTTTACCTCCAAGCTTTGTACAAGCCACTTTATCTCGTTAAGCCTCTCTTCCTCATTTGTAAAATGGGAACAATGCTAACTGCATAAAGTAATTGTCGCTTTAAATATTTTTCAGTTATTTTATTTTTAAAAAATGCATAATGGTGGTACAGCTACTTTGGAAGACAGTTTTGCAGTTTTTCACAAAGCTACATGTGGTCTTATATAATTCAACAATAGCACTTCTAGGTGTTTACCCAACCGATGTGAAGACGAAATATTCATACAAAAAAACTGCACATGAATGCTTATAGTAACTTTATTCATAGTTGTTAACAATTAGAAGCAACCAAGATGTCCTTCAGTAGGTGAATGAATAAACACACTGGTACATCCATGCCATGGGATATTATTCAATGATTTTAAAAAATGAGATATCAAGCTATGAAAAGACATGGATGAATCCCAAATGCATGTTGCTAAGTGAAAGAAGCCAGTCTGCAAAGGCTACACATTGTATGATTTCAATTTTATGACATTCTAGAAAAAGAAATCTATAGGGACAATAAAAAGATCAGTGATTGGCAGAGATTCAGTGTGAGTGAGGTAGGGAGGATTGAATAGGTGGAGCACAGGGTTTTCCTAGGGTGGTGAGACTATTCTGTATGAGCCTGTACTGGTGGGTACACTCTGCATTTGATGTCACAGCATAAAGAGTGAATCAATGTATGCAAACTAATGGAAAAATTATTTCAATGTTGGTGTAATCCCAGGATGAAATTCAGAATGTGACAAAACTATTTGACAATTTTACAAATGTGTGAAACAACCTCATTGAAGAAGGTGTGTTGGGGGGGAGGTGATGATATAAGTAGCTTGTCAAAAATCAATTGATCATATATGTGAAGGTTTATTTCTGTTCTCTCAACTCTATTCCATTCATCTATATGTCTGTCCTTATGCCAGTACCAAACCGTTTTGATCACAGCAGCTTTGCAGGAAGTTTTGAAATCAGGAAGTGTGAGTCCTCCAACTTTATTCTTCCTGTTCAGTATTGTTTTGACTGCTAAGGGCCCCTTTCAATTCCATATGAATTGAAGATAAGCTCTTTCATTTCTGCCAAAAACAGGCCATTGGAATTTTGATAGGGATTGAATTGAATCTGTAGATCTCTTTGGGTAGTATTGCTGTCTTAACGATATTAAATTTTCTGATCCATGAATACAAATGTCTTTCCATTTATTTAGGTCTTCTTTAATTTCATTCAGCAATGTTTTACAGTTTTCAGTGTATAAGTCTTTCAAGTGTACAAGTCTTTTACCTCCTTGGTTAAATTTATTCCTAGTTATTTTATTCTTTTGGATGCTATTAGAAATGAAATTGTTTTCTTGATTTCCTTTTTGTATTGTTCATTGCTGGACTATAGAAACACAACTGATTTTTGCGTATTGATCTTGTACTCTGTAGTTTTGCTAAATTCACTTATTAACTTTACCAGGTGTGTGTGTGTTTGTGTGTGTGTGTGTGTGTGTGTGTGTATGTGTGTGTGTGCTTTGGATTTTCCATATAGAAATACATTCTACTCTTCCTTTCCAATTTGAATGCCTTTTGTTTCTTTTTCTTGCCTAATTGCTTTGGCTTGAATATCTAGTACAATAGCCGTGGTGAAAGCAAGCATCCTTGTTTTGTTCCTGATCTTAGGGTGAGAGCTTTCATTCTTTCACCGTCAAATATGATATTAGCTATGGGTTTTTCACAAATTGCCTTTTATCATGTTGAGGAAGTTCTCTTTAGTTCACTGTGTGTTTTTAGCATGAAATGGTGAGGGATTTTTGTCAAATGCTTTTTCTGCATCATTTGAGATGATCTTGTGGGTTTTGCCCCTTGTTCTGTTAATGTCTTGGTTTACTAGTAGTTTGTTGAGGATTTTTGCCTCTCTATTCATACAGATATTGGTCGGTAGTTTTCTTGTGGTGTCTTTGTCTGGCTTTGGTATCAAGGTAATAATAGCCTAATAGAAGGAGTTAGGAAGTGTTCTCTCTTCTTCTATTTTTTGGAAGAGTTTGAGAAAGATTGGTATTAATTCTTCTTTAAATGTTTGGTAGACTTCACCAATGAAGTCAACTGGTCCTGGATTTTTCTTTGTTAGGAGGTTTTTTGATTACCTATTCAATCTTTTTCTTGTTATAAGTATGTTTAATTTATTGTCAGTTTATTGATCTTTTCAAAGAACCAACTTTTGTTTTTGTTGATTTTCTCTATTTTTCTATTTTGTTTATTTCAGATCTAATCTTTATTGTTGCCTTCTTTATGCTAGCTTTGGGTTTAGTTTGCTCTTAGTTTTCATCTTCCTTAAGATGTAAATTCAGGTTATTGATTTGAGATTTTCTTTTTTGATGTAAGTATTAATATTTATAGCTATAAATTTCCCTTTGAACACTGCATTAGCTGTACCCAAGAAGTTTTTGTATGTTGGGTTTGTTGGTTTTTTTTTTTTCACTTTTGTTCACCTCATATTTTTCTTTTTTTTTTTTTTTTTTGCCCCTACCCACCCTCCTCTGTTCATCGCATATTATTTTCTAATTTCCCTAGTGATTTGTTCTTTGATTTATTGGCTGTTTAAGAGTGTGTTGTTTAACTTCTGCATTTGTATTTATCTATACTTTAATAACACAGTCACTTCTTATTCTTTAATTTACCCTCTTATTTTTTAGTTATTTCCCTCTTACCATTTATTTGCATATTTATACACTCTCCCTTTTTTTCCTGATAGGTTTATCTGCTGGCTTACTTATTTTGTTTATTATTATTTTACAGTGATAGGTTCTTATATTTGTTCTATCTTGATAGAGTTATTGTTTGGATTAAATAAATGATGTTACATATATATAATGCTTAGTTTAGTGTCCAGCCCATGATCAGTGCTTAATATATGGTAGCTGCTATTCCTTTGCTGCTTCTTATGATTATTACAGTGGCAGGGTGGACATTTATCAGGGTCTGGAAGACAAGCTTGCTATGTAGGGAACTGGAAGGAGCAGAGCTTTGGAATTAAACAGTGCTTTGTGTGTGTCCTTGAGCAGGTTATCACCCTCTTTGTACCTGGGTTTCTCCGTCTGTAA